AAAGTCTTTAAAAACTGTAAAAATTATATTTCCATATAATAAATACTAAAAATGTTTAAAATAATAAATAGTAAAACTGATTTAATACGATTTTCCTACAAAACAAATTATTAGAAAAATATTTTTCTTATAAATATTTAATATTATTTTCTGTTTAAAAAATACTAAACATCTAAAATTGTAAAAATGACTTTTTATAATTTTATTTTGAATTGTAATATTCCTTTGTTCAGAATCTTATTTGCAAGGTTAAATAAAAAATTGGTTTAATTATAATTATAAAATCTATAAATTTATTTTAATGGTTGTTTTCCGTTTTAAAGAACCTTATTTTCTAGTTAAAATAAAACATATGGGTTGAAAATAATTACGAATTCAGTAGGTATTGGCTTAAGATAAATAATTTCTTTTAAATAACTACACATTTGATTTTTTCTTATAAACATGAAATTATTAATAAGCGACAATTTTAGAAAAAAAAAATTAGAAAAATAAGTGTCAATTTAAAGATTAATAATATATGAATGTTTTATTTTTCTTATTTGCTATTATTTTAATATCAATAGATGACTATCTTTTTTAATCCCTTAATATAACTTCAAAAAATTTTGTTATTACAATTCATCGTATTATAATTAATTGCTAGCATTTTTTACTGTTATCATATTCTTCATAAATAATCATAAGAAAATTAGGATGTTTTCATGTTTGGGTTTTATATGTGTTTGGTCATACGAAAAACACATATCTAATATTTTTAGGTGTTTGGTCATTATTATTGTTATTATTATTATTATTATTATTATTATTATTATTATTATTATTATTATTATTATTATTATTATTATTTATTATTATTGTCTCCGTGTAACTAATCTTTATTGTATTTGGTAAAAACAATCCAAAATCCTACATTATCATATTAAATTTTATGAACTTAACTATACAATATTTTCTCATACTTCATTTTCATTTTAAGTTGTTATAATGGATATGTAGCATCAGGAAACAATGAATACAAAAAATTGTACAAACTGAACTAGTTTAATAAAAGAATGTCTTTGTTGTGATTAGAACGTGAGAAGCAAATTATTTTGAAAATAATAGATAACGAATTGGAATTTTTGTTTTTATCTTTTCCATTATTAAATATATCATATATATATATATATACTTATAATTATGTAACTAATTTGTTTTATGCAAAAAGTATAATGTAGGTTAGATACATATTTCTTTTTCTTGACAATGTTATTACTACAAATATGAATCTAAAGTGAAAAGATTATAGAAAAATGAGAATCCAATATATATATATATATCTATATTGCAATTCATATATTAAAAATAAAGTTACAATAACTTACAATAACTTCTTAATGATTGTGATTTCAGCTCTATTACAATTTATTATCTATTATTTATTATAAGTTTAGTCGCCATACAACTTTAATTGTTAAGTTCTATTCATATATAATTATTTAGACAATGAGGATCTAAAAACCTGGTAGTCACAACATACATGTTTGTGGCTACAAAAAATTAAAGTAGTATTGAATTGCATAATGTATTAATAGTTTCATTACCTATAGATTACATGATAATAATGTTGATCAAATGTTTTTCCTTAGTTAATCAAATAAGACAATTTCCAATTCATCTATAGATTTATTAGTATATTTTCTTTTGAAATAGTGAAATTGTATTACAAATGTAGATTTGCTTAATTGTATGATTTATTTAATAGAGTTTTTTATTTATTTTTATAGAAATATAGAGTAAAGTTATTTTGTCTCTAAATATAGAGATGTAACTTATTCACTATATTTTCTTTTTAAGGTAAATAATTTCTGTAAAGTGTATATATTGTCAACGATTCGATTGCTTTGATTCAACTTTCTAATTTATTGTATTTTACTCTAATTCATATTTTCCAGGGTTAAATTCAGTTTACATTTTTTGGTTTGGATTTTTTCTTTATCTTTAATTCAGAATTGCTAATAACTGTATATGCACTATGATTACTGAAATATAGCTAACAAAAAATATTACTGAAACATAAATACTAACCAAAACTTATGTGGAAAAATAATTTTTATTAATAAAATAAGTTTTATGCAATATATACAAAATCTAATGATTACACATTTTTCTCATTTTTGCTTTTCATGAAATCAATTGAAATCCGTGCAGTGCATGGATCCATACGTGTCCAATAATTTAGATCTCGCAAGCCAACTAAAAAGTTACAACCCAATCAGAACTATTTAATGCACCGCCATGCTAGGAATTGCATCAAATTTGATCGGTTGATAATATTTTAATATTCTATTAAAGAGAAAATATTGGTTAATACTACCTCTGTTCTACAATATAGGATGTTTTACCAAAAACACAAGAATTAAGAAACTTACGTTCTACCAAATAATAATAGATATTTATGGTGGATAAACCAATCATAAATAATATAATAAACTATTATTGGTCAATCAAATTTTAATAAAGTTAAAGTACCTTAAAACTGTCAAAACATCTTATATTTTGGAACATCAAAATTTCTCTAAAACATCTTATATTATGGAACGGAGGTAGTAATATGCAATAACTAATGAACTTTATGATACATTTTTTTTTATATAAATTACATATTGGCCCGGCCAGAGGTAAGCCATCCAAACGGCCGTTTAGAACATCTAACTTTAGAAAGCATATTTTTATCTAGTTTGGTCATATAGATTTTTTTTGTTAGTATTTACATATAAATATAGTTTATAATTCTTTTGACAATAATAATCTTTGTAAATTTTTTATCTTTACTTATAGAATTTTTACTAATATATTGAATGAGTGTATGTGATTAATAATTAACTTTTAAGAACGTAAATTTTTGTATTAACAAATTATTTTATTAAAGTTATGATTGATTACAGTGAATTGTTATGATAATATTGACTAATATTTCTATGTAATTAATTTTATAAAAATATGTTTACAATCATTAGTGAAATTGAATTAGTTTATAAACTTTTAATGTGATTTATATTACAAATATATGTGATATAAGATATTATATAAATGACATGTTGAGATAATGTAAATCAGTTTATGGTTTCGAACCTGCACAGTTTGAATGAGTTTAATTGCGGCTTTAGTTTCTTTTTCCTTGCATATACTTTTTTCGATGTGCTTTTATACTTTAAAACAAAACTAAAAAACTAAAAATTATTTAATATGACAAACAATTTAGTTTAGGGCCTAACCAGTGCCGGTACTGAGAATAATAAGACCAGAAGAAATTAAAAAAAATTATGGACCATTAATTAATGAATTTTTTCTAAAAAATATGTATCAAAGAAAATAAAGGCCAGAAAGTTTGAATTCATCTTTTCTATCTAAAATCATTACATTTACCACTAGACTAGACTAACGACAGACTTCTAATATTTAACGTCCAAAATATTTCTTATAAACATGAAAGCCGGAAGCTCGAGCTTCATTCGCTTCTCCTTAGGGTTGCTACCGAGGGCATCCAAATAATGATTGAGAACTAAGATGAACAAAATAAATACAGATAATAACTTACTTATAAATAAAATTTTATATATTCTCTGTATATACTATCTAATGAAAAGTGTTTTATATATTGGACGTTTTGAAAACGTAATCAGTTCCATGTCGTTCATGCTATTTTAGATCATTAGATGCTTTCTTTACGAACGTTATATCTGTTACCCAAAAACAAATATGGAAAAGAGGACAGTTTTAAATTTTGACCTAAAGTCTTCTAGTTACGAAACAGGAGAACGAACAATCTCTATACATTCTTTGATGAGGGCTTTGGTGGTTTGTTTCAGTTTGTTTTGCTCATTCTCAATATTCGGAGCTTAGCCATCTCGAGTTCTCTAAAATATTGTAACACGTATTGTAATAACGAAGTGAGAGTGATCCGAAACAGTTGCAAAACAACTGTGAAACTTAACGAATGAGCACTCTTGAAGGTTTGGATTCGGGTCACTGAATCCTATAATTTCGTTGTACAAGATCGTTTGGAAAGGGAATTTCATTATGGTTCGCCAATATAAGGTGGGAAAAACTATTCGATGTAATATTTCATATAAATAGTAGGCTGAAAATGATGTCAATACGAAAGCTACTCAAAGAAAAAAGAGAAAAACAAATACACGATAAATGTGTGTATGTGCATTATTGATTATCTATTAAATGATCTTGTGCCAACTATCCACAATAATAATGCGATCGAGAATTTGATTACCCTTGGATTGTGGAGTAACATTTATGTAGCTCATTAATGCTTTTTGAAGATTGTAGGTTGTAATAAAATCAGAAGATTCCAGCATGCCCTATCAAATGATTGATCAAAGAAACGGTAGAAACCATATTTTTACCCTCACATTCACTATATAATCATGGCAAAGACAAGAGTTCTTTCATCAATCATCAACCAAAACAAAAAGAGAGTCAAAGCGTTAAAACGAGAGAGAAAGAAATGGCGACGTCAGGAACATACGTGACGGAAGTTCCTTTAAAAGGGACGGCGGAGAAACACTACAAGAGGTGGAAAAGTGAGAACCATCTCTTCCCTGATACCATCGGCCACCACATTCAAAATGTCACCGTTCACGAAGGCGAATGGGACTCTCACGGGGGTATCAAGATTTGGAACTACACATTGGGTATTTATTTACTTATACCTTCTAATTTTCTCTCCGTATATTTAACATTTTATATATACAACACATTTGAGTTGAATTATACAGACTAAGTGTGCCATTGCATATGATAATGAACAAAATTTAATTAATGAACACATGCATATAAAGATGGAAAGCAGGAGGTATACAAGGAGAAGAGAGAGATAGACGATGAGAATAAAACAATGACGGCTAGAGGACTTGAAGGTCATGTGATGGAGCATTTCAAGGTTTGTGACATCGTCGTCCAGTTTATTCCCAAGACTGAAGATAGTTGCGTCGCCAAAATCACTATGATCTGGGAGAAGCGCAACGATGAAGTCCCCGAACCAAGCAGCTACATGAAGCTCGTCAAGACCATGGTTGCTGACATGGAGGAGCACGTTCACAAAGCTTAATCACCATCACCATCACCATCATCATCACCATCAAGTCATCACTATCTAAATTTACTTATTAAAGTGTCTTCAATATAATATGAATAAGGGTGGTCTTGTACGTGGAGTTCCATGTCTAAATCGTTTGGTTCTTGTAAGATGGTATAAGTATGGATTCTATATAATGGTATTTTAATTAATTTACAATTTTCTATACATACACATATCTACCGAGTACCGACAAGTGGTGTATTTTGTACTCTAAACAAAACATTTCCATGGCAATAAAAAGAAACATTTCCTATCTTTTCTCAATTAATGGTCACCATTCACGTATTAGGGAGAAAAAAATGTCAACTTAACTAACGTATGTAAGTAATTTTCAAATTCGTTATATTTCCTTGGAACATAACATGCATTAGTTTGGGACCTTGTGGTCGGCTAGTGAGGCCAGGTAGTAAGAATAAAGTTTGGGATACCAACATGTTTGAAGTTGGATTCACCTACGATGTGAAACTAAATAATATCATTTTTCGATACTTACACAGTTATGGATCTATGCTTACCGTCTATTTGTATATTCAGAGAAAGGGTATATCATATATGTGGTGCATCTTTCTTTGAGATTAGTCTAAATATTTCCATAGATCCAAAATACTCCCACGTTGATAAAAAAAAAAACATAGCATGCATTAGAGATAAAGGTGACGCCCCATTTGTAGAAATAGAGAATAAGCGATCGAAAAATTCATGATAAAAGGAATGTGGACTCCACAGGAAAGAAAAAAAAAAAACTGTTTCTAAAGTCTATTTGACATGAGCAAGTACAGTATAAGATCATCCAATGATTTACATTATTATTTTCTTTAACATAGAATAATTCTATAAGAGAGTTGTGTTCTACTCTAATGAAATTCTATTTTAGAGTGAAAATAGAGTGATGACCAAAAAATAAATAGATTACTCTATATATACAATAAACCTAGTTTGGTATTTTGTTTGGAATGAAAAATAAAGTGATGAACAAAAAATAAATAGATTAGAATAAATCTATTTTTACTCTATTATAGAATGAAAATTGAATACTATTAGAGTAATTTATTCAAACTCTATTTAGAGTGTAAAACAGAATGGGACGGAAAATATTTTAAGAGAAGAAAAATTGAGATATGTATGAAATAAGAAAGGAAGAAACCAAATATGACACGTAAATTTCTTTTTTTCAAAAATCAGTTGTCGTGGACTAACCGTATATGCAAATCTAGAACTGAGCTGATTTAGACATTTTAAATGGAAATTGGATTGTATGACCACCAAAAATTTTATAATTAGGTATCTAGCTAAGAAAATATTTGACCATAATATTCAACGTATTTTCTAAAATATATACCAAACTACTCTTAAAAATCAGCTAACATCTTCTCCTTTCTTCTTTCTTTTTTTCTCTACAGATAACATTTACATTTTTTTATTGCTTTATTCTCATCATCAATTTATCTCTGTTAATTTCTTTTTCCAGTGGGGTATACGCAATACTATGAAATCAATTCCTTCCACCTTCTAGCTTCATACTCTGTTTTGCTCTTAATTTTGCAAGCAAGACTGGAACAACCACATCCCAACATGGACCTGGGATATTATGCAAATCTGGTGGTGAAAAGTAATGGTGGTGGACGGATGAATGTGTATCCTATCGAGATAATATATGGATATGTAGAGGATGAGTCGAAAACTATACTATGTTCAGTGCAAAAAGGTATAACATAGTAGTATTTGCGTAAGTTTAACTATTTATGTAAAATTACTATACTATTTAGTATATAGGGAAAATTCCATATAGATACACCAACTAAATTCTATTAAACTTTTTAATACCCAAACTTTTTCACTACCCAGTTTAAAACCTCAACTAATTATCCTGCCCACTTTAATACATCAACTTTTATAACTGTATCCATTTTAATACTCAAACTTTGTTTATTTTAATTAACAATACTAATAAGTTTCCAATGAAATTTTAAAAATGTCTAAACTTCACAAAAAAAAATAATTTTATTATATGTTTGAGTAACGAAATTAAATAAATTTTTTATAATCTTAAGTTTTGTAATAAGTTTTATATATTGAATTTAGTTTGTTTTTTTGAAATAAAAAGTAAATTATTTTTTTTCCTTCAAAGACTTTTTTTTTTAAAACATTAAATTTTTTACAGAGTTTGTTTACCTTATTTCTTAAATCTTCAAATAAACTTAGAAAAATTAAATAAGTTTTCTTAGATTTTGGAGATTTTTTAAAATTTCATTTGAAATTTATTAGTATTGTTAATTAAAATAAATAAAATTTGAGTATTAAAATAGATACAGTTATAAAAGTTGGTGTATTAGAATGGGCAGAATAATTAGTTGAGGTATTAAACTGGGTTGTGAAAAAGTTTGGGTATTAAAAAGTTAATAGAATTTAGTTGGGGTATTTATGTGGAATTTTCCCTAGTATTTATACTCTTGTTGTATTTCTATACTATTCCAATAAAATGAAACATGATAGCATATTAACATTTCTCTTCGTAGTATTCATTAAGATTTAATATAATGTGTATCATGTTCTAGGTATTTAATTATTGAACAGTGTTATTATTTTTCACTTTTAAAACTACCAAATTCTATAATCTACAACGCTCTGGTATTTCTATACCATTTACTATAAATGGCATAGATTACTTTTTATTCACATAATCTCCATACTATAACTATAAATATATATTATACTTTCTTAGGCTTGATGATTAAAATTTTAGGGTCTAGAATATGTTTGGGTTTAGCGATTCTGATTAAGAGTTTAGTATTTAAGCTTGGGAATTGGGTTTAGTATTTAGGGCATGTTGGGAGGATATTGGTGGGGTATGTACATGTAATAGCAACTTGAACCATACACATTTTGTTTTGGAAGATCATTCTATTTTATATATATAAATATAATGTTTGTACTATTTTGATTTTATTAAATAGAATAGTCCAGCTCTTACATAGTATAGTTTAATATTAGTAAATGTTATAAACTATTTTCTGATTTTAATTTTATAAGAAATATTAAATATACATACAGATTGGAGTTAAAGTAGGGTTTAGTATTTAAAAATTGTGTATAAGGGTTAGAGTTCTATACTATTTTATCACTAAAGAATACATTGTTTTTTAAAAAAAAATAGTTTTTAATTTTATCCACTGGTTTTATTACACATAATAAATATGTATGAAGTAAATTAGTTGTGATGTGGTTGGTTTTACGTGTGGTGATTGTGAATAATAGTGTTTTATTCTTGTTCACAACTGTAAGGGATAATGTTCCACTCTCTCTTTATTTTAACAGACACTTTATAACAAAGAGGGTATAACCAGATAAAATATGAAAAAATGTTAATCACTTAATAACGTTAAAATCAATGTTATATTCTTAATTTTCATTCAGAATTTAGTTATTGGGCAAATTAACCTTTATCAAATTACATAAATATTTCTTTTGGTCCCTCAGTATTTTATTTTTAATTTTGTTTTAAATATTAATATTATATATTCTTCTAAAATAAAATTAGATTTTCACCCGTACAACCATGCGATTTTTCTAATAATAAAATATTTTACGTTATACAATTAAATTTATTAATATATTAATATAATTTGATATTATATATTATCTAACTTTAAAATACTTTTTTGTGTGGCTTAAAATATTATTACGAGAAAATTTATAAATTTGTATTTTTTGTAACAATTAGAAATATTATTATGTAGCAGTAATAATTGTTTTATTTCTAAATTTGAAATATATGTAAAAATTAAATTAACTTGGACATAAAGAGTAGAGATACTTTTAAAATTATTTCACATAATTTGTTATAAATCCAAAATTAATAATTTTTAATTACATTTTCTGTTAATTAAAATTGCAATAAATAATTTTCAGAAAATATATTTTAAAATATCTAAAAATCTTACAAAAAAAATTGTTAGAATTTTCATAAAAGTATGATATAATGATGTTATATAAAATTTAATAAACTTTTTAAGGATAGTCTAAATTAAAAAATCACACATGAAATGAATTACGACTTATATTTTAGTATAATAGATGTAAAATATATTTTTAAAAATTTGAAATTAACATTAAAAACAGTTACTACAATTTATGAAAAATATTTTTTTTTAAATTAAAAATCAAATGTAAAACTATTATAATGTATGTAGTTCATGTATATATTTTCAAAAATTAAATATTTCGCACCAATTATATTTTGGTGACACACTTTTAGAAACTTTAATTCCATAAATAATTATTGTCTTAATATCATACTGAATATTTTTGACACTAATAATTAATATTGATTACTAACTGTATTATTTTATTATATTATATCTGATTAAATATAAAATAAAGAAACTAAAATATGCTTTATCTTTTTTCTACCATTCCATTTATATTTCTGATATAATATTTGATTAAAAATAATATAACAAGGAGGTCTTATTTATTCGAACACTAGTCAACATCAACTCTGCACACCAAGAGATCTTTATGTTTCTAGAACTGACTATGCGCAAATAATAAATAATTAAGAACATTTTATTGTATCTAAACTATTAAAACAGAAGTACAAATTTGAAATAGGGGGATTTGCCAAAACCAACCCAAATATTCATTTTAACCCTAAAGGTGCACCCCTTATTCAATCAATTGCAAACCCAACCTAAAGGGGTGTTAAAACTACTATTTAACCCTTATGAACAAACAAAAAACGTGCAGTATATTTTACGATTCTGTCCTTCGTAGGTCTACACTTTAAGAAAGAAGTCTACAACTAGGT